ATTATTTTATAAATTGATATATCTATATTTATTAAAATAACATATAGTGAGGCCTGAGTATGTCTTTTATAAAAATTTTAATTATACTGATGGTTAATGGAAATATGTAATTTTTTATTTAGTACCATGTTGATATCAATTGTAAAAATTTATAAGCAAATAAAATTATGGAATTGTTTAGAGATGCAATAATATTACTTCTTTCTTATTAATCTATATTTTTATTTTTAATATCTTTTTTTAGATTCCCCTGTTTCTCAAGTCTTTTACTTTATAAATCCGAACAAGCCAATGTTCTGTAGTATAGGCTTCTTCTAACATGTTTAATTCAAAATCTTTATTACCAATTTCCATATTTCTAACTCTATCATAACCAGAAGGTTTTCCTGTTTAAATCATAAAATCATTGAAATTATATAAATGCTATACAACATTATATTTATATCAATAAATGTTTACCTCCTTCTGTATAAATTTGACCAAATCTGTAGTAACACATTTTATACATAAGACAATTGAGCAAAATTGGAGAACCTTCTTTATCAACTCGAAATTCTCCTGCAGAATTATAATAATCCCATTCTGTTATAGATTTTCCTTTTTCAGTGCTTCCGCCAATACGCACCATCCATAGGAACTTGTTAATATCTAAAATTATAATCTAACAAGTTCTTAAACAACTTTAAGTTATAGTTTTATTTACTTTAATTATATTAATTTTAATACCATCTGATGAATAGCCTGTAAGTCCTCCAAAAATAACAAGAACGTAATTAACGTCTAGCTCTCTCATTATTTCGTAAGCTTTTTCTTCAGAACTTGCCATTGCTTGACCAACTCTTGATATGTGAGTATTGTTCCATGTATTATTGTCTACTAAAATTGTACGATTTGCCATTGCTGTAATCTGATATCCATAATCCCACCAAGACATTACTTTAGCATTCTAAAATTTTAAAAAATATGATTTTAAACATTGCAAATTAAAAAAATTAAAAAAATTATTCAGAAAACATTTTAAAAATTACTTCTGGCGTATTCATGCGTAACCAATAATATGCTTCTCTAAAATCATCAAAAATCATGCGACCACCATCTGGAGAACGTGCCGATAACACAATACTAGGCGAGCTATAGGCTTCTGCTGTAACCCATGTACAATGAATGGTATACGAAAAAAAGAGAATGCACATTACTGTTATGAAGAGTGTAGCAATCTGTTGATATAAAATGCGTTGATATAAAATTTCACAAAAAAGATTAATATTAAATAAAAATAATCAAATAATTACCTCACTTCTAAGTATGTAATTACTTTCAAATTTTTTTAACTTCTTATCACTAATTTTTCCTCTTTCTACTTGTTTCATATAAGTAACAAGTAAAGAGGATGCTCCAATTCCACTCAAAATACACATTACAGGAGCAAGCACTAACATTAGACGAACCATTACACCCTGCATTCAAAATTGTTTCAATTATTTATAATATAAATTTCAAATATAACAAAGAAAGATTTTTTACTTACAGCAAAATATAGACTTGTAACTCCATATAAAATGAGAAAAATATTCGAATCTGTTAGCTTTGAGAAGCAGAAATATAATCCTAAAGGAAATAGAAATACTAAAATCTGGAGATCAAAATAAAAAGAACTCCATGATGTTGGCTGATGTTCAGAAACAGAGGCAATTATTGGTATGTGGTTTTTTGCATAGGATGGATCCAAAAGAGAATAAAAACGACCAGTCCATGGTGATATTTTTCCTCAAATAGAATTAAAAAAATTAAAAAATTAAAATATAATTATTGCAACATTAATATTTTTGTGATAGAAGGATAAGATTTGTGATAGATAAAAAAAATGTATTAATATTATATATACCTGTAATAGTTAAAATAACACCTAATAGAAATGATATGGTAACTACAGAAATAACAAGACCACGGAATAAAATTTCAAAATCATCTTGTGACATTTTACTACGTAAATAATCAACTAGAGCATGAATTTGACAAAGTCCAAACACTCCCAATGCCTATATAAAATATAAATTAGTTTATTCATAAGATTTTGTTTAAATTAAGTACATATATTATATAGTATATATATAAGTATATTACTAAATATATTATTATATATATACACATATTTTTTACTTACAAGCATGTGTTCAGAACTCTGAACAGGTTGAAAACCAACAAAAGATATTTGCATAGATAAAATTGTTCCTAAACAATACAGAATGCTATATGCAATATATATTCTATGAGAAAATCTGCCAGTCACCATTAAGGTTAATACATGTAAAGGAATTAAATTAATTAGAAATACATAGCCACCCCAAGAAGACACCATATAAAAATATGCAAGAGCAGCACAGGTTGCCCAACAAATTGCTCCAGTTTTAACTGCTTTGATCCACATATAATATGTAAATAACATACAAAAAATAGCTATGCCTTCATTATCATAAGAACCTGCCACTGATCGTGATATATAACCAGGAACAATTGCTATCATAGCTGCAGCAAACAATCCTGATGCAGAATCCTTAAAATCATATATAAAATAATATTTATTCATTAAAAATATTATAAATATATTTAATATATTTTTACCTTCAATTCTTTGGTAAGTAAATAAGTAATAATTGTGGTCAAGCTAGAAAATAATGGAGCAAGGAAGACACAAATAGTACGTATATCTAAGGTAATGTTTAATAACCATGAAAGATGGTATAATGCTGCTGATGTTATCATTAATCCTGGATATATTGTTCCTATTAAATAAATAATCAAGATTCAAATTATTTTAACAATATTGTCATCAAAAGAGATAACAATTAAAAATTAATATAAAAATATATATATATACCTCCAATTATCCTTCCAAGAGGATACCAAACACGATCATCAAACCAATTATGAAAACTATAAAATCCATTTTCTGCTAAATACTTTGTTGTGCGATAATTAAAATATGGATCAAATTCATGAATAACACTTTCAAATCTTAAGACAGAGAATAATCTTGTTGCAAAAGCTATAAAAAAAAAATTATATTAATAAAATAGAATTATTTTAATTTCAATAGAAAACTTACATAAAATTGCTGCAAGAGATAACACAGTTAACTTTAAAAGTGTTTCCTGTTTCTGTGCAGACATACGTAAACCTCTTGTTTTTATTAATGTGACCATTGTATTGATGAAATTATAGAATATTAGTTTTTAAATAATGTACCACTTTTATTTGCCTTATCTATAAAAAAAGAATAAAAAGCATTTATATTAATATTAAATTTATTTTAGTTAAAATATAAATTATAATCGTTTGATATGCGGAAAAGAATTAAATACTTAAAAAAAAATCATGTCAAAACTCTCAATATAATAAATAAAAAATTATAAAATCGTATCAATGAACAACTAACAAACTAACAAAAAACACATGGCGTTTGCAATTAAATAATAGGTTATAATATTGTAAAAATGAAAATAAAAAATGTCGTGCATTTAATTAAGAAATAAATTAACAAAATTATACAAATATATCATCAACATAACATAACAATTACATATTAAACAAATATAATATAAGTTTAAATCATAGTTTCTCTAAGAACTGACCACGTACACAAAATTACCGGCCGGCGACATATGTATATTTTGTACTACATATTTAGTCATTCCGCATTGTACATTTTTGTATTTTTATTTATATTATATAGACTGTGATATAAACTTACAAACTTACAAATTTTATAATATAAGAAAATTGATAAAATAATAATGTCATTTAAATGACTAACACAGAAACATTGCAACTTGAAACAAAAAAGCATAGATTAAATTTGATTACTAGTTATGCTATCTACATTGCATGCTATCTACATACGATAAGAAAAAACAAAGTATTTAATTCATATAAATATATTCATTGTAAAGAAAAAAAGAATTAAAAAGGTGTTTTGTTCAAATATAAAATATAATTAAATATAAAAGAATAGATAAATACTAAATGTTAAATTAATCTTTTCAATTAAAAATTAAAATACTAACTTGAATGCGCCCTCTTAAGTAAGTATTTAAAATAAGACGCATTTGCAGTAACAAATGCATGTACTTACTACATGCACTATCTTATATAATTATTCAATGGTTTATAATTATCAATCCGTTGTTTCCGCCAAAAAGACTTATATTTGTATTATGTCGTACGATATTTCTTTCTTTTCATTATATTTATATAAGTATAATATTTTGTTTCGCCAAATTTTCAATTTTATAACGTCCTATTTATCATAAAAAAATGTCTGAAGGTAATTCTTAATTTATGAATATTTATATTTACAATTTTTATATTTTATAAATCTTAATACATTTCATGTTATATTCATTATAACATGTGCAATAATTTGTATCATATAATTATATAGAAATCATTTTTAATCAATAATTATATATTTTTTATTAACATATTTTTTATATCAGTTATAATATAAGAAATTAAAAATATAAGAAAAATAATTTAAATAATTACATTAATCATTAATAAAAGAATTTATTTTATTTATTTTATTTATTTAAATTTATTAATAAAAAAATTTATTTAAATATATTTTATAGAAAAAGGAACCACACAAGATATGTGGACATCTTATAAAGAATTACAGAATCTTGTAGAACGATACATTACTTCTTCTTCAACAACTCATGATCTTCATGAATTTACAGAAACTCTACGTAATCATAGACAAAATTTTTTAACACTTTTAGAAAATCCTGTAAGTAATTATATAAAACCAAATATTTATAATATTAAATATGAAATAATAAAAATAAAAATATTATAAATTATTATATTATATGATATATTTTATTATAGCCTCCAAATAAAAACAGCAGAGAAGAAATAATAAAGGGAGCTACAGATGGTATTACACTTCCTGATTTAGGACATCAGTTATTATCAAAAGAATTGGTTGATGAAACTCTTATTATATCAGATATGTATAAACTTAATGAGTTTATGGCATTAGATCTTTTATGCACTGCTCAGTTGCAAATGCCTTATCATCCTAGTTTACCCAGAGGATTAACAGCTATTTTATTATATTATGATGGGAAAAAAGCACTTACATCAACTTTAAGAATGCTTGTACAAGCAAGAATGGGACATAGTTGGAAAATTGATGCTTCACTTGCTCTTTTGAGACATATTACAGAATATATGAATAAATTACAAGATGATTTATTAGATAGAATTTTATCATTGTTAGAAAAAATGGATCCTATAAAAGAACAAGAATTATTGGAAAAAAATCGAGCCTTAGGTGGACCAAAACATCGATATATGGTTATGAAACTTTATAATGATTCTAGACAAGATTTGGCAGACATTTTATATTTGTGGTCTGCACAATCTTCATTGCCAAATTCAATTTTATTTCGTTTATTATCTCTATTACAAACAAAACAAATTGGACCAGAAGCCTATGAAGAAGGTCCAGATAAGGTCACACTTGCTATTATAATGAGTGTGTTAAATGCAATCAATTTTAGTTCATTTTCTACTCGTGAGAATGGTGAAGGTATATTTTTTTATCAATTATAAATATAACTTTTATATTACAATTTCTGATTTAATATTTTTTTTTCAGAATTGATTAATTCCATGCCATTAATTTTGGAAAGAGGAGCACATGAAGAACTATATCAAAAATTAATAACACCTAATATTAATTGGGAATGTGCTGGATTACGTGGGATTATACAATTTGCTTTTGCAGTTGCTCTCACAACAATAAAAACTGCAGCTAACATACAAATTTTGAATATTACCACAGAAGATGAGAGATTGTTGGAAGCAGCTTTAACAAATAAATGTTTTCATTTCATGGCGGAAATATTATTTAAGAACAAAAGCATATATTACGAAGAATTTTATCTTCGTTATTTTCATTCTCTTATTTCTGATTTTATATTGCTGATGCCTTTAAAAGTTAAAGATTTACGAAGTCGAGCAGATGAATCTATGCGTTTGATTCAGGCATATCAACAAGAGGGTATTGAACCACCTTTAAATTTAGATAATCATTTTGAATATTTAATGTTAACAATAGCAGAATTATATAAAGAAGATCCTTTAAAACTGAAGTTAGTTAATGATTATTGGTGTTATACTGATTCCACGCATACATCCGATTCTGCACATATTAAGCGCTCACTTTCTAGAGAAGTTGCTCTTTTTAAATTCGTACGTCTCGCAGGTGAAATATTACCAGCAGGATTATTTGTGCCATATCTTAAGATGATCGCATCTCTTGCATGTTCTCCTGAAGCAGCAAAGCAAGCATTTAGTTTTTTAAAGCCAAATGGTAAATATTTATTTTTTTTCTGGAATATTATTTGTTGTTTTTTTAATTAAAATAAAAAATATTAAAACAAAAAAATATTTATAGGATCTTCTGGATCAACAACAATTTCTTGGGATCACTTTTTCAAATCTTTAAACCTGTACTATGATAATCTTAGAACTGAATTGCCTCCCAGTCAGGATACTGTTTACCGTCAAAGAAGCCATCCCAAAGGCATTACACCTGAAGAAGTTAAAGGTCTTGAAGCAGTCTTATTGGTTGTTCGAGTGATTGCAAAAAATGACATAGAAGATAGATTAAGAAGAGATATATATTATCATCCAGGATGGAAAGTAATACCATCTTTGATAGGCTTAGTCAGTTGTGGAATATCTATTCCATTGAAGAGTGTTTTAATAAGAACACTTGCTGCATTAGTAATGTCATCTGAAACTTCATTCACAGTATGGCAAAGTTTAGAAGCTGCACAAATAGTTCCAAATATACCAACAATAAGCAGCTATCAACCAAGAGGAGTTCAAACTGAATTAGAAGAAATTGAATCGAAAAAAGATGAATATCCATTAACGCGAGCAATGCTTGAACTTTTAGATGTTCTCACTAACTTTCCTATATTACGATTATCGGGAATGGGGCAGCGTAATCCTGGTTTTGATCAGTACTTGCGTTTTATAATTAATACTGTTTTTTTAAAATTTCATACACGATCATATAAAAATCCAGGAGAAAAATGGGAAGTTTCAGAAGCTTGTTTAAAAATATTTTTAAAGCTTATTAAACAATATGAGCCTACTGTAGAAGATTTTACTGGATGTAAAGTGGAACTTCAAAGCGGAGAAGTTACAATGGTCAATTCTGGTTATTACATTATGACTCAATTACATTCCAAATCTGAATTACTTCATGTTATATTATATATTCTTGATAAAGGTTGCACTAATTTCGATACTTATGAACTTTTTCCTGGTAAAAAAAATCTTGAAAATAGCACTTTGTATTGTTTGGAAATATTAGAAAGAGGATTGAATACACAACATAACTATATGGCTCAATCAGCTGCTGCAAAATCTATACATACAATTTTGACCGGATTATCAAGATTACTTTTAGAAGTGGATCCACAATCAAAAAGGCCTGATTATATGATAAATATTGCTAAATATGTTTCGTACAGTTCTTGGCTTCCGCAACATGCATTTCACGCTGTCGGTATTATTTATGAAGTGACTAATGAACCAGGAGCAGATTCTGAGTTACTTTCTATGTTTACAGCTACTCCTGCTTTAGCTACGAATATTCGACATGGTTTTGTGGAATGCTTGGATGCAGATGAAGATACTGAAAATGAAAAACAATATACTGGTAGTTGCAAAAATCGGATTTTACTTTTAATGATGCAAAGCCTTAGAAGACCTACTCCAAATCTCTCTCACTATTTATTAGGCTTTGAAATTACTAAAGATATCAAAAAAACTGTTTTACAACAACCCGGTATTCTAGGATTTCCTCGTACATGTTTACATTCAATATTAGGAATTTTAGAACAATCTCTTGAACGTGGTCGTGACAAAATAACAGAGGCTTGTTATTGTCTTCTTTATATGTTAGCTGAAAACAGCAAGACATTTGTTTCAGTTTTAAGATTTTTACGAACTAGTGCAAATCAAGATTTTATACAGAGACATCTTTCAAAATTACCATTTGAAGGATGGAACACAATAATAGAACTTGGTTGCATGTCATGGTTATTGAAAATAGCCGCAATTGAATTACGAGTTGCTGGTGGAAGTTCACAGAATTCTTTAATTCAACGATTAGTTGGAAACTTTGGTCAAGAAAAAGGACAAATTGTACCATCACAGAAACTTCTGATGGATCTTTTGCATTATATTGAATTTCAATTTCAATTGGAGTCATCTTTATGTTTAGATTTCTTTGATCCATCACAAGTTGAAATGGTTTTTGCACGATGTAGTGTTCCCGTTGCGTTAGTAGGAGGTCCTCGACTTATAGAAATTAAAAAATTATATTCCATTATCACTGAGGAATTAGCTGTTACTCAAAGTAGTGCAATTGCTACTCAACGTAACCCTATGCAAGATGAAGTACAGAAAATTTTAAAATACGCTTTAGAAAGAAACCAAACAAAATTATTATCTTATGCTACAGTAAAATTTTTAGAAGGTTGGTGTCAAACAACAGAAATATTATTTTGTGTTGCAACAAATCAACAACTTCCTACACCTCAAAAACAGAATTTACTGTTGAATCTATCCCATGATTTATTACAAAAGATGACATCTTGTGAAGCTTTAAGCGAGATTAAAACTTTAGTATCCGGAACAGTGCTGATGTTATTAGTACATCTGCGAAATAGTTTCATCACTCAAACAGATAGTGAGTCATTTCCTTCATCGCCCTCAAATGCAACAATGATGAAAATTATTTTGAGTCATATTTTGCAATGGATTTTAAACGCAGGAGCCTCTTCACAAAAAGTAATTACCCATTTATATGCGGTATTATTGAATTTTCTTTGCGTAGTCGGTTTAGAAAAATCAGAAAACACGAATATCATTGATTTAATGTATGTTAATCAGTTAGATAGCTCAATGAATAGAGTAATGCCTATTCAGGAACGTTCTCATCGATACGCAACGATACAAGTAATAAACAGTTTTGGAAATAAATTGATGGATATTTTATGTCATAATTGCTCGGGTGGTCACGACGTATCTAAAATGTTGGCATTATCTTGCTTGGATAAGATATTGGAATTAGATTATGATAACGCTTGGATAATATATTTAACCAGTAGAGGATATTTAAAGCACATGATAGAAAGTCTTTTAGAATCTGATAAAATGTTACAAAATATGTTACATCCAGAACCTCAGACATTAAGACCATTATATTTATATGAAGCAAAGATGGCAACATTTTGCAGAATGGCCTCTACAAGATTAGGTGCTGAAAGTCTTTTGGAGAATAAAATTCTATCGTGTATGTCAAGTATGACAGCTTTTAATTACCATCCTGATGTTCCATTAGGTTTTTCAGTAAGAAATCCTCATTCCTTTACACCTTCTCCTGGTCAACGTTATCAGCAAATCCTTTTGCCTGCTTTGTATCTTTGTGATGCTTTGCTTACCACTCTTGGAACAGAGAATCAATCATGTGCCATACAAGTTTGTGGTTTTCTACAGAGCCATCGAGGCATTATCGAAATGGTATTACGAGATGCTTATCAGGAACCAAATGCACTTATTTTGAAAGAAATGGCTTGTCTTACAGGTGTAATATCTCGATCTGCGAACATTGACATGTATAAATTAGTAGATGAAGAATTGGATAAAGCTGATTTTGAATTAGAAGATGTTAGTGGTATAAGAGAACTTCGTGCTCATCTATATCGATTACAAAGATTAATGTTGGCATTATTGTATAAATTCCAATTACAGCCAGCTCCTAGCTGTTTAAATCACAAGAATGTAGAGGAAAACGAAAAACATATTTCTCGTGTACAAATAGTTGCAAATATTATGTTATATACTCGAAACCAGATGCAGCATAATAGAATGGATCAAAAAATAAGAAACGTACTTTTTGAGCCTCATTTAACTCTAAAACCAAGAGGAAGAGAAGATAGAATAAAAGACACATCTGGAGGAGTACATTTAGGAACAATTGTCGATCAACTTGTGTCTGTCACGAATTTATTAGATACTGAATTACTTCAAATTGACACTCTTAAAAAACAATCGGAAAGCGTTGGAGAAATGATTATAGACAAATTAAAAGACTATATGTCCGAAGAAGAAGCGGAACTCGATGTACAGAAACAACGAGTTATAGTAAAACAACGATTGAATCATTGGGTAAAAGAAAAGCATCAAATCATAAAATATTGTTTTCTAATAATAGAACATGCATTGTATATTCTTTGGAGTCATTTGGATTTTTATATGATACAAGTGATATCACGGCATAGTCGAATGCAAGGTAAATTTATATTAATATATAATATATTACAATTAATAAATGATATGAAATATTAAAATTATCTTCTTTTTATTTTAGTATCTTCAGGAAGTATAGATGAAGATACAGTGACATGGAAAATATCTTCAGAAACTTTAATGGAATTAAAGCAAGGTCTTGTTTCTACATTTACAGATAGTTTTATTACACAATTAGTAAATATACATAGTAAATATGCACTGATGGAACATAAGGATAAGGATTCCATTGAAAGCCCAGGTCTTCAATTTGTTGAAGCTCTTGTCAGAAGAATAAAAAGATTATTACAGTTCACATTTGTAGAATAATATTGTGTCTATGATTCAAATGTACAACATATTTTTTTACATACCAGTGTATTAACAAATAATTATCCAAACTCTCATAAACAGTATTTATTATAAAAAAAGTTTTCAATAAATAATTTCTGTATAGATACAATTTATTGAAAAAATATATTTCATCCTTTCATTAAATAATATTTTATTACATAAATAATATTTGAATACTTAAAATAATATTAATATAATTTTCATATATTTTGTTTTCTCTAACAATATGTGCAATATAATTTTACATGTTATTGCTATTTTATATAATTGCATTGTATTAATAATAAATTAAATATCCAGATATTTATGATATATCTATTTTCTTTAAATTACAATTATATATATTATAATGAATGAATAGAAATAGATTAAATATTTTTTAAGAAGTGATAACAGCTTCATCCCATGGTCCGTAAATGTTATCTTTATATTTTTGACATTTTACATACCAATAAGGACAAATAAAATGTAAAAATATTACAATTGCAATAAATACATAAGAAAGAATTTGTGATACTATTAACAAAAAATATAATGTACTCAATGTTAAAAAAATTGAAATTATTATTTTATTATTTAATTTATGTGTCAAAAATGGTAATAAAACAAAACATTGAACAGAAACAGTAAGAAGAGAAAAAGCATGTAATGGAGATGCCAATCTAGATGCTAACATTAAGGAGCCAAAAATTGAAGATGTTATGGATAAAGAATCAGATAAAGAAATTTGTAAAGAACCATACTTACTAAATATTAAATGTACTATAAACATTAATATTGTCATAGCATAAATTGTATCTGTACTAATGGTTTCAGTTAAAGTTTTTAATACAGGCGATAAAATATATCCAAATGTTAGAAAAATCAATACAGTTCTAATATATTTTGTTAATTCAACCAAAATATTTGGCCTTTTGAAACAATATACAAAATAACCGAATATTGTAAATATTACACTAAATACAAATATGATATCAGGACTAGTCCATTGATTGTTTAACCAAATAAATATGATAACAAAAAGAATTACAATATTTAACTGTATACATACGCTGGCACCGAAAGTTATTGCTTCCAATAATGTCACATTATTTGGTTTTACATTTTTACGTAATTGTTTCAAAAACGAACCATCTGTATAATTATCCGCCAAACCATAATTTTCATATAAATTCTTCTGCCACTGTAACTGTATTGTCATAATGTACTTGGATCTTTTTTTTTTTTTTTATCAAAATTTCAATTATATTTGAATTTGATAATTAAATATCAAATATAATATCAATCCGTGAATTAGGTATTATCAATAAATGATAGTTAACATATTTATACATTTTCCTTACGTATGTATTTCGTATTATTGAATTTTTGCTTTTTATACTACAAAAGAAGCAGTACAATTTCAATTAATTTTGAATTAATCATAATTTTGTAATTTATTGAATATTAAACCATACATCTTGATTAAAAAGATTATTGAAAAACATTACTAAAAAATTTTTTTAGAATCGTTAAATTGTAAAGCATATTTTTTTAAATATAAATTTTATTTATTTAAATTAACCAATAAAATAAAATTCATGATATAAAAAATATGAAATCATAATAACATTACTGATTAGTTCTATTATTATTTTTGACGAAATAACCAATAAATGTGTCATTGTGAACTTTAATTTTCTAAAAAAGAAATAAAGTGGTAAAAGTATGGTCAAAATTTAGAATAATTTGAATACATTCTAATGAAAATATTTCATTTGTTTTTTAAATCTATTCACACGAATTAAAATATATATTACATATTAAATATATCTTCTCACTTAAATATATATATATTATATATATATTTAAATATATATATAATTAATAATATATATAATAACTAATAATATATATAAA